AGTTTTCGTACCTGGTCTCCAGGGCTAGCACCAGGGGCTCTTTGTGCTCGCCCTGGTTGGATGCGCACGAGGTGCGAACCCTATTTTTTCTGCCAAGGGCAAATCCAACCCTCAAAAATCTCAGGTTACTCATCCTCAGGCATAGTGGAGGCTATTTAGTAAACTTGTTTATACGCGTAGGCAAAAATCGTTGGGAAGAACTACGTAAGTAAAAAACTATGATAAGAAAAACATCGCTAATCTTGACAAAGAAAAGAAAACACGATTTCCTAATCGAGCACACTTCAGAATAATTCAACGCATCGATCACAAAACCTTACGATCCGAATGTGACGCAAACTAGCCATTACGGAAAGCTGAGACGCGAAATCCAATTTCCTTTCCTCTTATTTTCTCTTCTATCGAACCCAGCCAACTACAAAGGGGAGAAAAAAAGGGATCGAGTTGAAGGCGCATTTATCATAATTCTTTTCTCACTTTTATATTCAATTTCCCTTTCTCGGAACACAGTGGTAAAATGACCGCATGTACATGGAGAAACGCAAACTCCCTTTGTTTGCTCGTTCTTTGTTCAGTACAATATGCACGCAGCAGTGTGATTGGACATGCATGAAGTGCCCGTAAATACAAGCGAAGAGAATGACTCGTTAAATTCGAAACGTGGGGGATTCTTTGTACGTGCAGAGTTAAGATTTTGAGGAGAAATCAACGGAATTTTGGATTTGCGGCCTAGTAAAATTTTGTAGTAAAAATGTCTCAAGCGAATATTGGGAAAACAAAAATTGGATTTCAGTGGCAAATTATCCGCTCACAAAAATTTTTGCATTTTTAATAGTTCAATTCGACAGCTGCGAGAAAAGTTGCGATGCAAATTGCATAGAGTTTTTTAATTAAAATTCAGATTGACGGGGTTGACATGAAAGAACAGAAAAGTTGTTTTCCACTGCTTGAAAGCGCGAACATTGCGTGAGTTCTCTATGCATATGCAAACTGAAAAAACGGAGGTATCCATTTTTGTTTCAAATGTTATCAGGGAGCTGATATGTATAGTCGAGAGGGTTCACAATATTTTAATACCACACGAGGGCCTATTAGAATATCGATTAATTTCAACGCTGAGCTTTATTTTTGGGTCAATGATGTTCCACGAATGTGCAACTAAATAAATAAGATTCTCACTTGGAAAAATTAAAGGGTTTTTTTTTCTTTCTCGATTCATCCAGGAGTCATTCAGTTGAAGCATTTTTTTTTTTTTTTTTAACTCTATTGGGCCACATGAACTTTTACTAACGTGATAACGGAATTTCATTTCGTGCGGTGACTCAATTCTTTGTGTAAGGATTTTACTACACCTTTATTTTACTTATTAAAAAAACTAATACGAAATATGTCATTTCTATTCCCTAATGATATAGGTCAAAGTAAAAGAACAAAAAATTCGTTGAATTGAAAACAAGATAGAGTAATAAAAAGTTCAGGTTCACTAGAAAAAGAATCATTACTTTGAGTATCATTAGTAATTTTTTTTTTTTTTTTTTGCTATTGGGGTTTTAATAATACTGTATCAATAAAAATATAATAATGAATCAAATATTTTTCCAAAACTCTGTTTGAATGAGCAATATCCATCTCATTTGCTTGAATTCTAGGAAACACTATTAAACGCTCTTGCCTTTAGATTATTCATTTGCTGTACATTTTTGACATACGATAAGCACGTAAAGTTTTGCATAGCAGGAATTTTTCACTAACTTCAGCTCAGTTGAATGACGCTGACTTTGCAACTAACTGTATGAACCACTATCACAGTACTTGTACTAATTAATCGTCAGTACTTGTATTAATCGTCTACTTTAAAAGCACAGCCACATAAACTCCATACTTACAATTCATTAAACATAATATCGAACAATACTATAACGATAAATTTCTTCATCCAATTTGACGTATTTCATAAAAACTTCTTTATAGTGTTGAGCTTTTTTGAAGATTTTGAACAACGCACCTATATTTTGCTCTACTATCCATCACCGTCATCGATACCTTTGTGTAAATAATTTTTTTTTTATTATTGGTACAAGTGAAGCCAAAAAGAAGTATTGTATAAGTAAAAATCTGTCACCTAGCAAATACAATCCCGATTGCAATGGATTCTTGCGATAAGATACGATTGTAAGAGCATCGAGGTTTGCTTTACTCAAAGCTTTTGAAGCTCGGTTTCTTCATTATTGGATCCATAAAATTTTGTCAAAACGAACTTGTAATTAAATATTCCTCTATGAAACTACATTTAACACTTTACGTCAAAGTACTTGAAGATGTTTGAACCACAATTTGTTGAACTGCAAGTGACACATCTCCTGTAAGATGATTAGGACCTTTTGAAATGAAACACATGACAAAGATTTTACAAAATCATCACAGTAAAAGTGACATAGAGAGAGATCCAAAAAGTCTCAATGACGGTAATTAATTGCAAAGCGAAGTATAATGCCGAGCAGCATCTTTTCCCCGTAGCAACGCGATAATTGTGCATCCTCGAATTTAGCACCCGCCTCGCAAAAGACAGTATCCCACGAAAGAAGCCTCTGACGAAGATAAATAAGACACGCGGAGAAAAAGCAGCCGTGAGATGCGAGAATAGAGACGTGGGTCGGGGATTTTTCGAAGAGAAGCAGAAACAAGCCTCGGCTTCAAGGTCTTTTTGTGCCTAACGAAGGGGAGCTGTGTGGGTGTTTTTTTCTCTCTCTCTCTCTTTTTCCCTCTCGTTTCGAGCTAAAACCAAACTCGTGTGTCAACAGGATGACGGAGCTTGGCTGATTGCGACGTCAGATGTGTGTTTCTTTGTGTTTACACGCGTACGTGGAAGTACCGAGCAGTGGATATTCGATTTTGAAGCGCTTTGATTTTTTCGGCTCTGTCTGGGCTGATGGTATTTGATAGCTGATTTTTGTGTGCTTTGCAAAAATTCGAATCAAGAGGATGGAAACTGATATCGAGGGCTTGTTTGCGTTGTGCTTTAGAAATTTGTGATTCCGAGATTGCCATGATACGCGGAAAAAGCTGCGAATCGAGTTTATCCCGTAAAAGGGTGACTGACGCTTGTCTGACCATTCTTGGAATGTTACTACTTATGGCACTTCGTAGTGGTATCATTTTTGCTGCATTGAAAAATTTGATAAAATGTTAATCTAAAATGTAAATATGAACATACAATGTGATCAAAAGTTTGTGAAAAAAAAAATGTATCTATTAAAAAAAAAAAAAAAAAAAAACATTTAAAAAATTACTTTTTTCACTAGATAGTGATTCGACGAAAATTAACTACAGCAGTGCCATTGAAATTAATTTACCCACATAAATCAGAATCAAAGCAGGTATGCTATCTGAAGTTGCACTATATCATCGACTGTTTGCATGTGTTTCTATGTTTTTACCAACAAATTGTAATGAAGGTTCAGTTTGAATTAACAGTAGCAGTTGCGGAAGTTCCACGGGGTTTCGTTAAAAGCGATTATTTAATTGAAAGGTTTCACCGTAATTATGCGTCAAATCTAGTTGGGTCTTTCAACTTTTTTTTCTCTTGGCAATAAAAAAATTGGGACACAGTTAATTAGATTAATCAACAATATTCCGTGACTTTTAATTATTCTCGTTTATAAATTCAACAGTAGTTGTTCTGCGATCGACCGCCACCACACCACACGTTGTGGTTATCCAAGTCGTGGCGTATCATACATATATTATCGAGCATTAATTTATTATATACTGTAATTATGGATATTCATGAGCTAAATGCTTTCTCTCGATTATAAATTATATTCATGACATGAGTAAAAAAAGTGTACTACCATATCAGCAGACTCGTTAAAAACTCAACTTGTTAGGAGTATTTCGTACAGTTGCATCGATATAAATTCTTTTTAATTATGTATGTTCATAAATCACGCTCTACTTATTAAAATATACTGAGAGGAGCTCTTAATCGAGTTTTTATCATCACTTATTGAATTTTCCATATCTCTCACAGATTTGCCTGGAAAGTGAACGTTTTGCTTCGCGTTTGTTCGATGAGAAGACAAAAACTTGACGCGTGCGAGGGGCTCGTAAAAATTTTACAAGATATTCTAAGTCATAATCTTACGAAGCGTGTAAATTGACTTTGAGGCCTTTTGAGACTCGAAAAATGTACATCCTCCTACTTTGAATGATTCATACTATTGAAGATGACAATTTAAGAATTCACGCACTGTTTTCCTACGTTTTCATATTCAAGGTTCAGCTACTGCTCTATTTTTCTGTTTTCTTTTTTCCCCTACGCCTGAACTTAAAAAAACACACCTCTCACTATTTATTTCCCATTCAAGGGCAGTGAATTTCTAAAAAAACTCGACCAACTTGTTATAGTTAGAAATGTTTTAGTTACACACAATGAAATGTTAGAAAGTTATAAACGAATGAAATTGTTAACGAGTCACGATTGTGCACGAATGTGCTTTCCATTTCTTGAAAACTAGCTTGCTATAAATCTTGCCACGAAGCTGTCGTTGGTATACGTAACTTCTTAACAAATAAAAATGCCATTCGTATGGCGTAAGGTATTATGTATAGCTCTATCAACCCACGATTGATGACGTCCAGCGAAATCACTCGTTCCACCCCCTGTTATTCCACAACGCATTTTTTTAACACATTATATGAAATAACAAGCACTTTGCATGATCTTTTCAATGCCATTGTTATCCTTTAGTTGATAAAAAATGAAACTTCATACTGGATTAGGAAATAACTAGACGTAAATAATAACTTACATGAAAAATCATAATACCTACGTCAATCAAAAACATTATAAAACTTACTTTTAAGAAATTTAAAAAATTTTATTTATTTAAAGATAAACACTAGCCAACAATGCGTTATTTATTGTTTTTGTACATCCCACTGTCGTAGATAATATTAATTACAAAGTGCGTCAATATATGTTTTTCATGTGATTACAGGTTCAAGCGCCAAGCAGCGCGTTGGGTTGGCCCCGATGCCGGCCAGGAAGGGCCTGCTCGCGCCTCAAAACACCTTCCTCGATACCATCGCCACTCGCTTCGATGGAACCCGTGAGTTATCCAACTTTTATTTCTACGTGTTTTTTTTTTTACATCATTATTTTTGCGTTAATCACAAACTCATCCCAGTGCCTTGACAGAAACACATCAGATGGGATGAAGAAAAAGTAGAACGTTACAGGTCACAGACACCGTCAGATAATGTATTTAACGAATGAGGGTGACGGCGAGGGTCAAAAGATAGGGGAGCTTTTTTCTAATACGCATGTGTACACCAGATTAGTTGGATCACGTCGCACAAGCGCGTTGGAGTTAGATACTGTGACAGGAGGGGTTAATGAGAATTGAACTGTGTGCTTGTAGTGACGAGATATTCAGGGTTTAAGTACATGTAAGATCTCACGATTGCGTTGACGAACTTGGCTTTGCTTATAAGCATCCCCCTACGACTTTTCATGGTATAGAAGGAAAGCCTGTGAATTAATAAATTTCTCTCGAGCTCGATCGATTCCCTTCTTCGTCGTGCGATACCTGAAAAATCCATGGAGGACGAAGATCGATGTTTTCTTAGAGCTTAACGAACAAAATATTCAATAAGACGTTAGTAATGAAGGCTGATTATGCTAAGCTGATTACAAATAATGCAAGCTGTAAAGAAGTTTTTTTTTAAGATGAAACGTATGTATTTAGAATCTGTTTTATTATATTTCTAGCTCAGTAATTGATCTTATCCTCACTCCGTCTATTAAGATTATACCTAAAACCCATGGTATAACTACTATTTTTTTCCTACTACAAGCATTATATAATTTTAGGGTACTCCAAAATTACTAAAATCTAGAGTTGTACCATAAACTGTATTTTTTTTTTTTTTTTTTTTTTTTTTTTTTTCAAACAACTGACCTGTGGCTCAGAGTAAATATATATAAATACAGTCAAATCAAATTTATCTCTGTCACTAATGCGATCTCGATTTGATTCCACTTTTTCTCGGTCTTTTATTGAAAAGCTCGAATTTAAATCAGATTAACTACACTTCAGTAGCATTAATTATTCAACAGGAGACAAACACTGAAAACCAATGCTCTTTCCTACGTCGATGTGCACTTGTACACTAAAAAAAAAAAGCTTACCTCCCAATAATTTAAATCTACTGACCTCTGGCAATCAATGAATATTCTAATGAGTAGCACAACAAGCAAGATCGAAGATGCAGCAGATAAAGAACAGCAAATACTTCAAATAGAGGAAACACAAAGCTCCAACTACATACATCAAATGTACCTGTATATCTGATGCACTAGCAATCATTGCTAGAAAACGGATAAGGAATTACGCTCGTTACTATAGAGATCTCAGATCCTACACCTGCCTCGATGAAACGAGGAAATACCAAGGATTTTTGGAACTGCAATGGCAAGCTCCAGCACATAATACTTATTTACACGTCTTTTCTGGCATCTCATATTCAATGACACGCACAGTATTGTGGTTCCACGAACAGAGCTGTTCTTTCCACGGTCGAGTATTAAAAGTTCCCATGTGCATTGCGGTGCAGGTTTGACATTTCAGATAGATGACTGTCACTGTACAGCAGTCGAGCGAATCCCCGGGGATGGTTATAAAACGTAGTCAGCCGTTTTGTGCACGAGTTCCGTGCTTCATGGAATATGAGCGACGTGAAGTACTGAGGGGGGATGAGAGTTTAATAGCGTGGTTACCACAACAATACATGAGGTTACAGGTATTAACTGCCTATGATGGTGGTAACCCCTTTCATATTTTGGAATCAGCACTTTAGACTCTTTATACGTGTGCTGTTAATAATTCAGTAGTAAAGGTCAACGTTTGATCAGACGAACGATTGGCTTGGATTGTATAACTAAAAAAGCACCAGTTGCAGCTAAAATTAATATGAGCTCTATTTTAATTCTTTTTTATCTGCCATTTGAACGAAAATTTATCTTAGATCCAATTGTTAGTGCCTTGTATATAAGTCAATATGCTTCGTCATATTTTTTACTGTTGCACACTAATTTTTAGGGCAGCATTAAAACGTTATCAGTTACGCACACCTTTTTCGTACTTTAATTTTCCAATCGATCAGCTTGATCCTTCTTCTCCCTCTCTCTCTCTTTTTCTTTTTCTCTCCCTCATACAAAAGGAGAATTTAATCAGCTCAGCGCATCTTCTGATTCATTACCAAACTTTTCCCCTCCGCTCTTTTTTGTTCACAACAAAATCGCCATTTCACTTAATTATCCTCTACCCATCAATTAACAAACGCACAGTAAATCCACTAAAAAATTTATAAATATGTAGGCATTACGAGATGAAAAAAATAAAAATGAGTACTGATTTTCTTTTTTCGTGATTTGTTTACAAGGCATCATCTTTTGAGTATATAGATAGTAATTAAATACTAATTGCAAATCAAATCTCGAGGAAAAATAATATTGTGTATAATACATGACGATAGATTTGTGCAGGTATAGAACGAGGAACATACCTCCAAAAGTTTGGCGTGTGAATGTGACGTAAATATAGAAGTCTACGTGATCGAGAATGATAACGAAGAGCCGGAACTTTTATTGATGCTGTATATTACTTTTATCATCTCGGTAAACATAAGAGAAAACTCGTCAAAAGTATACAATAATTACACGGGAGATGTGTCTCTGCGTATAGCTTAGTGTACTTTGTTATTTATAGATAGTCGTTAAAGCGCGTAAATTGAAACGCGTCAAGGGTCTTTGGGAGGCATCAAAGGTACTACGCTTTACAAAATGGATTAAATGTGAGCTTGATATTTTAAGAGGTAGTTGAACATACGCACACAGTGTTTTTTTTTCAAATGTTTTTACACGTACAGTTTGAGTATGGATATTAACTTAAAACAAGTCTCTTCATTCATGACAAACGTTGGAGGAAATTTTTCTAATTCACAGATTATGCTTGAGCACTTGTAAGGTAATTAGTTTTGCATATTTTTTGTGTACAATGTTTGAAGGTTGAAAAATGAAGGAAAAATTACGTTTTAGTTTCAGAAAAAACATTATTAGTTTAGATTTATTTAAACAAAGTCTCATTACCTCTTACATTCATCGAAAAAATAAGTTTTGCTGAATATTTTAGGCTTTAGTTAGTTCATTTCTAAATTAAGCCGTACTAAAATTGTTTACCATGGATCGCGAAAAGTTTCAACGGCTGACAATCAAACGTCAGATCTTTTCAATCGACGAGCAATGACAACGGATGTCAGAATAAAAAATTGAATATCAGAGAGTGCGTAAAGACTATCGAAAAAGGAAGAAGAAAAATAATAGTATGGTCAACAGAGCGAGGGACAACGAAGTACGAAAAAAAGTCACACTCGTGGGCAGCGGACGAAAAATGCAGAACTGAAACATCGTCTCGATTAAATATCGATTCGCTCGGCTGACACTTTTTTTCCACTCGTTTCTCGGTTCGTCAGCGCTGTCCGAATCGATTTTTTTTTCCCCTGACCCTTTTTTTCACCTTTATCCTTTCCTGTTTCTGATATACATATCAGTAGATACGGGAGAAATGCTAATGCCAAGGTTTTCGTCAATGAAATTTCTCTTGCTCTTCTCAAATAATTTCCAACGTGAAATCGATACTAAACTTAAGTGCAAAGTAAGCAATTCCAGAGATCACAGAGAAAATGCAAATTTTTTATTCAATTTCTTTGAGCGGTAAGTTTCAATGAAATATTAAAAAAACAAGTCAAGCAATTTTGAAAGTGCATACATGTAGCTTTTCCAAAAATTTCGGATTAATATTTTTCATGAGAGAATTTTTCCTATGTACTTTCCATTATAAAAAAATTTCTCAGTTTTAATGTATTTGCTTCTAATCGTTTTAATTGAAATTGCGCAAATAGATGCGATCGCGTTAGCTTTTATAACCCATTTTATTCATCCTTAAGTCCCATCGTACGTTCACCAATTCGCTGCGAATTAAAATTATTTCCCGTTATTAAATATGACCGCATGGAAAATCGTACATCCGCAATAAAAGCGTCACGCTCGAGGTGTCGTATAAATTTCCCAGCTTCGTCAACAGACCTTTTTAACGAGCTGCGGTGAAAAGTACGCCACTCGACCTCATCGAAATACGTGAAGTAGCAACGATTCTAAAAAAAAAATCCGCTCCGTGGCAACAGGTCAGACATGAATAAAAACGGGAGCAGCGCCACTGGGGCTCAGTGACCCCTTCCCTGCAATAGTCGTCGGATAAGTAGATCCACGGCATGAAAGCAAAGTTCGCGCTCTAGTTAAAAGGGGAGGAGGGTTATAATTCTCTCAAACTAACTGCGTTTGAATAGATTTCCGACCCCTACCGTTGTTCTCTCAAAAGTTCACGTAATCCCAAAAAAGAGCGTAGTGATGAAAAGAACGGAGGAGAAAAAGAATCGAGCCTTCGATTAAAGGCTTCGACCGCTGGCAGAGACTAGCCGAGCTCTCGTGCCTTTATTTTGGCTGGCACTGTCGTGCATGTACATAGGTACTGTGGTGAAAAATCAATAGCTCCACAATGGCAGTCGTATCGGCACGTATAGAATCATCCAAGAGATGTTTCCTTCAGTGCACCAACTACATCCATCACTCGGCCTACTTTTCAGCTCGACGCATCGAAAACATCCTCTATAAGTAGGTACTCCCCGCTTCCAGTTCCTTTCTTCTCGCTTCTTTCCCCCGACCAAGTACTTTGTCCCCTTCACCCGGTCTACCATTCCCCTATCTTTCACACGTACTTTATTAGGTTTCCCGCTCGTATTTTATTCCACCCCGCGCGAGGTGGAGCGAAATTACCAGCAGCTCGAATGGGTCGTTGCGCTTGTTGTGCACGAATTTCTCAGCTCTGCGAGTTCTCATCAGCTTCCAGCTTATTTTTCAGGTCAATGTTGGTTCAGTCGCAAAATGGAATAGTAACTCTTAGTGCACTTTATTTCAGAGTGTTTGGTATGCCATTGGGATTATACGTGATTAAATGTACTTTTTTTTCTATACATGTGAGGATGGCACAGC